TAAAGGAAAACTTTGCAAATGGAGTGAGCACAGAGTTTCCTTTGCTTCCTCAATACCTCTCTTATATCTGTTATCTCTCGTTATGTCTTATATTTTTTGCTTAGACACTACTTTTATCCTTTTCCACACTCTGTCTCACAAACATACACTGGCCATCTCTGTCTCCCCTTCTTTAATGTCATTTCTCAGTGGAGTATTCTCCCCCTCTACATTCGCAGTCCTTTTTCCACTCTCTTTCTGCTTAGTTTATGACACAGAGCTGTGAAACTGTACTGCAGATATGTAAACCAAACTTCCTCCCTTTAATTCCTCCCTCAGTCAGTAGTTCAAGGCAATAGGGACTTGGTTTATGTGTCTTCAGTGGGGGTTGGGTTAGATAAGATGTTAAGGTGAGACCTTTATTGATGCTGATGGCACGAGGCGAGACCCCGTATGGCTGTTTGGATTTACTGTCTCTGGGGTACAGGGGTTCAGACTGCAGCATGCACACACTCTCCCTCTCTCTCCCTATATCTCACAGACACACACACATGCACTGCAAATAATAACCAACTGTATCTGGCTAGATGTATCTGTTTGTTTTAGATTCTGTCCTCCGTATTGGGTTTTATTAAATATCTCATGAACCTCTGGAGATTGAGGTAGGGAATAAAGGACAGATGAATAATGGGAAAATATTGGTGGTAAAGTGAGTGAGAAAGAGAGAGTGGGGGGCTAATCTTTTGATATGTGTGTGTAGACATTTGTACTGTAATATTAATATTTCTCTCTGTGCATGCAAGTGTGCGTGTGTTTATTTGTCAGTGTTGAGTAATGTATGTATGTATGTGTGTGTGATGACTATATGACTAAAGTGTCACCAAAGTCTCTTGCAGATATACACTGGAACTCTGAAGTTTCCTAGACATTAACCAAGGAAGCTGTGTGAGAACACAAATGTCCAAGTCAGTCGACCCGGACTTTAAGTGGGCTTTAGTCTGCCAGCTCCCTAGTACAAAGTCCACGTAAGTTCTGAGTGAGCTGGAGTGAGCCCATGTGAGAATATAACAGCGTATAGTCTGGAGTATTCACACGGAGCTAGTGCATGTGTTGATAATGTTTTATCGTGTGACCAGCGCAAAAAAAGAGGTCACTCACAGTGAAGACTCCAACAAAAAGATTTGTGAACTTCTGCCGTTGAGAACTGCAGCAAAAATTGCCAGACAAATTTAAAGTAGGGCAAGTTTTTTATGACCAAATTACAAACTGGCTACATGACTATGCCATGTCCTGCCTCCTGTGTGCTCTACCCAGGTGTGCCCTCCACACATAAACAAAACTGAATATTTCCAGTAGGTGAGAACCCATCTGACATAGACTGCCTCCTGCTCTTTGCTACATGTTTGAAAAGGCAATTCTCATAAAAGTCCAGGCCTGATTCTGCAGGCATAGTCCAGAGTTGATGTGTAAAAATGGCTCAAGAGGGCATGTATTCCTTGGTGGGGTCACAAGATGAATCTAAAGGGATCTGGGGATAATAAAAAAAAAAAAAAACGGGTTCTTTAATTGTTGTTTGGTAAAATTCAGTGTTACATCCTCTATCCTGTCTAAAAATGACTTGAATTAAACAGTCTGGAAATGGGAAATCCCTCTTTATTGAAGCCCTTAGTCACATTGGATTAATCCATGTGGATTCAAATGATAACTCACCCAAACGCATCACAACCTGTTAACCTGAACAGACCAAATAAGAAATTTTGCTTTTGGAGTGTGATAGTCTTCTTGTTTATGAATGCCTTTCTAATCAGGTTACATGGAAAAATTATGATTCATAGTTGTTTTTGACTGTATTTATAATGACACCCTATGATTCCCACAGTGGAAGGATCTGCTCTCTATTCACTTTGCACCATTTGACTCTTGATATTTTTAATTCACAATGAACAACCCAACCTATTTGTCTTGTTTTATGGTTTTGAATTTTATGTAGTTGTACAGCAAGGCATTGCTGGTGCAAATTTTAATAAAATACAAGCAGCAAACTCCCATCCCGGCTTGTGTAAAACAGAGCACAGTAACTTGAGTGTATTTCATAACAAGGCTGAAAAACGTATATTTTTCCTCTAAAGCTAGTAATAGTCTTGAAAAACAAAAGGCTTCTCTGTTCAGATAGCATTGATAAGCTTTGAAATGACCAAATTCTGACTTATAAGGTAAAAACAGAAGGACAGCCTTCTAGTAGTTATGGGTTATAGCCTATTTATGATGTGACCTATCTGTTGTGTTTGGATCTGCTCACCCTGCTGCATAGCACTGTAACATAAATACTGTAGTAAATGACAAAAGGGCATCTACTGTAATGTAAAACTGAAGAGGAGGGAGGGGAGGTTGCGGCCTTCCCCTGCCAGCTTCGTATGTTCGGAGGCAGGAACTTTAATGTTAATTTTAATGATAGATGATAGAGAATGCAACATGCCACTGCAGAGTGTGTGTGACAGTGTTATTGTCTCCATGATTAACTCAGCCACTGTCGCAGCCCCTTCCCCACAGAGAACAGGAGCGCAAGCAAAAATAAAAGTGCCACTGTCTAGTTTCTCATCAAGAAATGCTCTTCATTTCTATTCATTGTTCTTCATCCTCTGTCTCCCTCCCCCTCCCTTCCTCTGCCCCCCTTTCTCTCTCTTAGAGGCCATTAATGGTGATAAACACTAGGGTTTGTATCAGCAGGATGCACCTGGAATTAACGTGAACACTTAAGAAAGTAATTAGTGGGTGTACAGTATGTGGCTTCTCTTGTCACTGTAGATGCCTATAGGGGGTGTAATAAATGAGAGCCAGGATCCATAGGAATAGGATGGCAACGATTTTTGCTAGCAATGCTGTCATCGTTCCGTACCCTGCCGCAAAGCAATGATGCCTCCAAGCAAATGACTGAATTTATTCCTGATGGATCCACAAATGCAAAACTGTCTACACACCCAACATCATGATGTTCCAGTCTTCTCTCAAACTGATAAATGTCATGGATTGTTCAAAGCCTAGACCTACACTGGTATCAACCAACTTTTAAAGGAGGTACCATTTTCATGCCTATACTGTAAATCGAAAAATTAGAGCCAGCAGCTGGTAGCTTAGCTTAACAAGGAAAAACAGCTAGCATAGACTAGCTGTCCCAAGGTAACAAAATCTGCCAAACAGCACAGACAGTTTCTTGGCTGAGACCAGTAACTTTCTCCATTGATTGTCTGGCAATCTGCACATTTCCAGGCTAGCTGTTTCCCAATTTCTAGTCTTTATACTAAACTAAGCTAACAGATGTGGCATTAAGCTTCTCATCTAACTCTTGGCAAAAAAGCAAGTATTGTGTTCCCCACATGATCAAACAAGTATCCAAATAATAATGGTGTTCATTAGCTTTAGATTTGTCTTGCCTTGTTCCGTCACTGAGCACAGGATTGGATAATAGTTTCATGTTGTCGCTGACCCATACGTACAAGGACTAGAGATTTTTCTGGCCTCCCTCACAAGTACAGTATGACCATGTGGTGATGCATACATCTTCACTGCACCACCTTCCTGCTGCATTGCACCCTGGGTAATGACCCATGTAACAAATCCACTGCTTTGTAACCAGCAGGGTGTAATTTCTCACTCCAGGGAGCAAATCAAACATCTAGTTCTGACTACAGTGGCTCTGCTTCACCCCTAATATTCCTTTGAGATCTCCAGAGTTGCTGACGGGCAAAATCTTTCTCTTTCACACCCATGCAAATGTGTTTAGTGAGGCAGATGGAGTGTCCTGAGCACTGGTCTGAACAAAACGATGACACCACTATTAGCATAATAGCCCTTGGATGGGCATGTGTCGTCATTATGGATTTTTTATGGAGTGTGTGAAGGGACTGACAAAAGCAGTTAACATTAGGCAAAGCACCAGCACTTATGGCATGCCCCGCTTCTTAGATTGGCTAAAGAATCCAACTCCTGCACTCATCCAATGAAAGAGTCTTATTTAAATGCACTAATATATAGCCTAGCATCTGTCATTAGAAATACTAACATCTTACGAGCATCTGGATCATACCAGCTTAGACAGCAGCGCTAAGGCTGTAAAAAAAAAAAAACAACTCAAGGACAGTCCTGGACATGCTAAGCTAGTGATATGTAGCCTATAATCAGACATATTATTATTATTCAAAGTCTACAACAACAACCTCCCTTTTGATGCTAGAAGATCGAATTTGCCTTTTAACCCAGACCAGGTGATAGCTACCCAGTTTGTAAATACTTTGAGGAAGCCATTCTGCATTAATGGATGGATTTCTTAGTACCCAATAGGGTAATCAATACTCTCTTCTTCAAGGTCTTTTTAAAGTGTTTTTAGTGCTAAGACATGCTGTAAGAAGAGAGGCTAATTTACCAGGAAGGTATACTCAGCTTGCCAGTAATGTTCAACCTCATCATCATATTGTAACAAGTCAAGCTTATTGCTTGTCTAAATTAAAACAATGTTCTTTTCTTGTTTTGCTCTACATTACACATTGATTTGCAGAGTGAGCTTCTCTTCCATACAGTCCCATGGCACTGATGGATCTCCCATTTCAGGGGCTGAAGCCACTGTGGGAACCTTTATTTGTCAGTTTGTAGAAAACCCTCTGGTCTCTCTGTAAGTATGTTGTAATGCACATATCGGTATGGTCATCACAGCAAGCTGCAGAGGCTGGATTGACCTTTGACCGCCCACTCAGCACAAACAGTAATGTTGAGTCTTGCTTCAGGTTTTTTGGACTGGAATGGTGGTAGAAATAGGAAAGGCAGGGGGGTATAAAGCTTGTAGATTGCACTATGTGCTCTAATAATGCATTAGCTCCCTTGAGATAAAAATTACCATCAATATGCTCATTTTCCAAACCACCAGTATGTCCTTATTATTCTTTTGCTATCAGTCTGTATACTTCATTCTTTTTTTTCTTACACTTTTATCCCTTGTCCTTATCTGTCTCACATCTTTTCTGCCATAGGCGGTATGAGGTGTATCCTGTGTGTGCAGACCTGCAGGGCCAGATCCTTGCGTGCTACAAAGAGAATGCTGGAAAAACCCTTAACTGTTCCAACATAGCAGCCCTTTACCTACAGTGTGTCAACAATGCCAAACAGGTATGTACTGTATATACTTATTGAGTGAAATGAATCAGCATTTTTTTGTGTGCGTACTGTAAACAGGAAGAAAAGACTTGAAACATCAACTTGAATCTTTATAAAATTTTCCAAAATAATGCATTTTTCTCCCTTCTGAAGAATGACAAGTAGGTGCATGCACCCTCATGGACAGATAAGTAAGTTGTAATGCTAGTTTTCAGTTTAATCCGTGTGTGTATTGCAGAGTAGCTCTATGTGTATGTGTGTTAGCTACAGTATATGTCATTAGGCTCACAGATTTTTATAGTAGCTAAGGCAGAACAGCCATTTCCTTTTTAAATGTCTAAATCAGTTAGTAGAATATAGACACACATACACACTAGCATCCATTTGATCACTTGATTTTAGACAGGAGAATATGATTTCCTCTGGGCTACTGGCGCCTGAATATAGTTCACTCTAAATAGACAGTTTAAACCTTAGGATCTATTTCCATAATCCCTGCTGACACAGGCATTGCTCCAACTGCGTCTGTGTGTTTTAATGTAATAAAATCAAGGGAGTAGCCGCTACAAGTTGGATACTACTCATGCTCTTTCCTTTTATTACCAGATGGTTTTTTGCCCTCTGTCTCACACACACACACTGTATGGCAGTAGTAATGTCACTCAGGTTGATATTAACTTGATTCTTCCCTCCCTTAGTTTGCAATATGTAACATCCACTGGCCCCAAAAAGACTCAATTTACATTCATAGAGCTTTTGTATTAGATTTTTTTTCTAACAATTTCATTGTTTTGCCGGAAATGAGGAAAACTGAGTTTTGTGTCTCACTCACTCTCATGGGTATTAGTATTAGATCTAGAAGTCAGATGCAGGCAGATTTTTAAGCTATACATCATGTAAATTGCACAATGTTTTATTCATCGTGTGTGTGTGGGGGGGGGTTTGTCTTTATATACTTGTGCGAACCAACCCCTGACGGAACACCTTTTTTCTGTGGACATTTCTTCTTGTGTGGACCTTTTGGATGGTCCGCACAAGGATAATACTGTGATAGGCTCCTTTCATCCTAAAGAATGATCTGTCTAAGTTTCAGAAGATGTCCACATACAGAGAGTAAAGTCAGAAAAATGTGTACCAGCTTGTGCTCTAAAAGTATCATGCTCTGATTAAATACTGCGTAAGCTGAATTCATGCAGTACTGCCTGTGTCTTTAAAAGGGCGCAGACAGGGCAGCTTAGAAGTTGGTGGGAATCAAGCAATATTTATAACACCTGGAGCTTGAGGCTCACCTTCAACTAATGTTGCATTAAATACACTTTACGTTGGCAAAATTAAAAACCACATGCTTCCATCTCTGTAATGCTGTGGTTTGGTTTAACCAGGAAAGTAAGATGGGACAGTTATGAAAGATCTGCTAAGATCTGGTGATATAACCTGCATTGTTTTGGTGCTTTGTGACAGAAGGTCCAGTTCACCAAATCTGCTTGGCAACAGGCTCCGGTCCTCACACGTGTAGAAGAAAAAGATTTTTTTTATTTCGAGTTTTCTGAATTCTGAAGTGACATTTTGATTCTCTATTGCCACCTCATGATGTGTGTGTGTGTGTGTATGTGTGTGTGTGTGTGTGTGTGTGTGTGTGTGTGTGTGTGTGTGTGTGTGTGTGTGTTAAAACAAGTTACCTGTAGCATTGTCAACATTCAGCAAGGGTATGTTCACAGTCCGGATCCTGTTATGAGCTTGTAAATTGTTTGGAAGCAAGCCTGAGACGATGTGGTAATCCGCTTGTGTTTATCACCCTGCACCAATCACGGCACACTCCTGTTCCCCTGTGCTTATCTGTATAAGACTTGCTTTTAAAATCATTAGGTGCAAAAGAAACTGTTCTGTGATAAGGCCTTAAAGGAATAATATGCAGAATTACACAGCCGACAAAATGGGGAAAGGAATGAAGTAGGATTGATATGAGCTGATGCAGCTTAATGATTAGGATGTTTACACAGCTTTATCGTGCTAGGCAGGAAGCTGCACTGAGAACAAATGTCAAAGGACATGACTTTGACCTCTGCAGGTCAGAAGAACCAAACGCACCCTCTAACAGCCGTCTCTCATTCTTCTTCTTGCTTTCTCTGTCAAAGACTCTTGATAACATAACTGAAACAGTAAAAGTATCTTTCCCCTTCTTCGTCCTTCCCCTTGAAAAATGTTAAATTCCACCAAGAACTGCAGCACCATGAGAATAGATAGGGATGTCCAAGATGCCATCTCACTGAGGATAAAAACCAAATCCCCCAAATCTCAGTTTTACAATACTGACCCCTCAGCTGGAGTCAGCTGGGATGGGCGTTGCCAGCCTCGCAGCCTTTGTCACTGATAATTAGCCTTCTTATCGCCACAGTTTAGCCATAACATTTAGGCTTAGTTTCACTCTCTTTTGTGCCCGCTTTGCTCCACCACCATTCCTCCTTCACTCCCTCCATCCCTAGTCACATTTCTAATGCATTTGGCACTTAACAGGTCTAGATAGCAAACTGCAGGGAAGAGGCAGTCGAAGGACAGATAAAGTCTCTTTTTCCCTCTCCCTCTGTGAATAAGAGTTTATCATGGAGGCCCATCTCTCCATCCACTGCCTGCCTCCTCATTCCATATTCTTGCCGCATGATCGCCTCTTGCTCCCTATCTTTTCTTTCTCCACTTTATTTTTTAGACTGACCCCTCCATCTCCCTCTTACTCTCGAAGGGCCAAGCTGGAACTCTGTTTGTGGTTTCAGAGGGTGTTATGTTTGCAAGGATTGAAATGAAAAAGGAGCAGGCTCTCATAACGGCTTTCGTCGTCTATAAAACAGACAGCATGTCGTTCAATATTGTTCGTAAATATACTTTAATGATTTAAGTTGTCATTTCAACATAAAACAGTGTTGGTGTGCAGTGGGTGATTTTTACTGACATTCCAGGTGCATTCACTTTTGGGCCTTCCAAATAATATGGGTTAGATAATTTAGCTAAACTCATGGCTTGTTTACAACCTGTCTTTTTAGAGATGCATCCATACAACTTTTGCTCTCCACATACTGATTCTAGTAACTCGTGATATAATTGTCAGCCAGTCTGTTTACAAGCAACCTCCACAGGGAAGATTTAATAAGATCAGTATCTGCATAGATGTGATTTGGATTGATGCATCTCTAATATTTGTTATCATAACCAATATGATGGCAGCCAGAGCTACAATAATAAGTTGTAAAAAATCTGTAATCATCTTTAAAAAGTTTCCTTTAAAGCCTGCTGCTAACAACTGTTGTTATTATCAATAATCATTTTATGGTCAGATCAATAGTAGGAAAAATAACCTAAATACCTTTGGAGAAGTGAAATGTTACCTGCAGAAGATGGACCTATTCAATCCCCAACACTATTAAGTTGGTCAGTGAGGAAAAAGATAATTTTTTTTCATATGTTATGTCTACCTCATTCCCTTCTGTATGCTTCTTGTTTCTTCGGTTTTCTTTTTTCCTTTCACTCATCTTCTCTTAGGCAGTTTTCATCCATTGGCATCAGCTGCAATAGGCCAGTTCAAATGATTATTGACAGGGAGTGCTGGGGATTTGTGGCTGCACTTATCACTAACATGGAGTCCAAAGCCCTTGGGTCCTTTCTCTGCTTCTTGAACTCACTCAATCCTCTTCCCTTTTTATTGTACTCTCAGGCCTTCCTCTCTCTGTCTTCTCTATCCTGTATGACATAATCTTTCTCTTCTATTTGTCTATTTTGATTTTTTATTTGATTCTCCATCTCCCTAATGCACTTTCCTCTCTGTTTTTGTCTGAAGAACAAGTTGAGGACCAGCGGTTAAGGAAGAGAGAGGAGGAAGGAGGGAGCAGTGAAGAGTTTATTGTGTGGGATTACTGTTTATTGACCGACTGACAGACCAAACCAGAAAGGAAGAAGAGAGGAATGAGTCAGCATCAAGACACATACCCTCAAAAGCCTGTGGAGAACTGAACCGAACCAGACTGGAAGCACTGAGCACAGCAACCCGCGTGAGAAACAAGAAGCCTTTTCTGTTGATTCTTATCTCCTTCCCCTCTGCCCTTACCCTTTGTTGACCTCTCCCGTGAGAATGGCAGATCGCCATTTTGGAGACGGTAAGCGATGGCGCCCAGCAGGCCTGAGCCTGGCTCACTAAGAGGACAATAAAGATGAACCAGAACCAGTCGCTTCCACTTGGACCTATAACCACCCACTCAAGCACCTTTTGGAAAATAAAATTCTATTTTACTACTAAAAGTCAGTCCGGTTTCATTGTCATTAATTCATTTTTGTTCAGCTCCTAATCCTGTACACAAGACGCACATGTGCATGTCTATTTCTTCTTTGCATCTGGTCATGTGAGTTTGTGTTAATAATGTAACAGTCTGCATGTTGAGTGTTCATCCAGACCAACACTTGTGACAGTGTCTAATCAGAGGAAATAAAAGACGAAACGATGCAGGAACTGTTGTTGAACTTTTCTCCATAAATATTCAGTGGATGGCGTCTCTCAAGTGTGTGTATTTTAATGCTAATTATGACAAGCATTGTATATCTTTGATGGATATGGGGCCCTCGAGTTGTCACGACAGTGTTTTGCCAAATAGAGTGAATGAGTCCAAGTGAAGAGGATTGAAGCAAGGGGAAATATTTGTCCCAGATATTCTGGTTCATCATTTATCTTTTTCTCTGCTTTACTATCTGTCTTTTCTACTGGCTTTCTTTATATAGTTCTGATGTGTGAATCCTCTGTACACTATAGTTACTCAGTGAAAAGAGCAGGGATTTCAACCTCTTCCTTATCCGCTCATTGTCCTTTTCTTTCATTTATCTACTGCTTTTTGTCTTTCTTGCTTCTTTTTTTCCAGAGTGTATTTCATCTCTGCTCAGTCTTCCAGGCTAATGTTGCCTTGGAGGAGACAGCTTCTCCACGCTGTCTGCACTCTGCTAGACTCTCTGGGTTGGGTTTAACTGGATAGACAGTGTACGTATGTGTGGGCGGGGAGGTAGTGTAGCCATCCACGCAAGTGTGTGTCGGGGGCGCTGTCTGATTCCCCCACATTTGAACCTAAGGGACACTGGGTTTGATGTGGTGGGCGATCACGTAGGAGACAGTATCTTAATTCTGCATCAGAAGAAGGAAGTATGCATGATGGACAAAGGGAGTGAGGCAGTGTGTGTGCATGCAAGCAAGTGATTCATGGTGACTAATCCCCCTCTGTCTGTCAGTCAGTCAGTTGTCCCTTTGCTTTTTGACTTTTGGAGTCTCTAAGGGGTCAGGGGCTGACTTCTATTATACAGCATATGTGTGTGTGTGTTGTAAGGGTTTTGTAAAAGCTGACAATAATGGGTATTGGAGTTCATGGCAGGTGTTTCTCCACAGAGCACCATCTTTTTCCATTTCTCTTCGCACCTGTTTTCGCTCTTTGCATCTGACATAACACATAACAGATGCCTCTCTGACCAAGTTCCTCTGAGCCGACATAAGTAATTTAATGGTGTATTCAGCTTGTAATGAGATTATAGCCCCTCTAATATAATTATAGAATCATTAGATCTAAACATGAGGCTTACTTTTTTCTTTCAAAGGTCACCACAACCTCAACAACCTCTTTAAGTTGTATAGCTTTTATGAAAATATTCCAGCAACTCACTGGCTTGTATATGAAGAGATGCTGGTGCAGTCCTTCTAAACTCAAAGTGAGCACTTTGAAAGAGCTATTTCCTAAGAAACATTCTGGGAAGGACATAATGGAAAATTGCAATAATTCAAAATGAACATAATGCTGTATTGGTTGGCATTTACTTATACACCTCCTGAAGCCACTGTAAAAAGTTTCCATTTATCAGGAGGGAGAAGTAATGAGATTTAGATGTAAATGACTGTTTTGTACTAACAAAGTGAGCTGAATGAACAAAAATGCTTTTCTCCATTTCAATGCAACTTTAACAGGTGTGGCTAAGATGCCCTTGAGCACTGAGCAGCTCCGAAATACTGAAGTAAATCTGCATTGCGGCATCAGGCAGTGTTCAGACTGTGCGCTCTTGGGGGGTTCCCCAAGGCCACGGGTGTGTGGGGGTCAGGGTGAAAGGAAAACACAATTTGAAATACACTAGATCAAGCAGAACATGAATGTGAACCAAATTGAGCTTTTTCATAGAATGGACAGGTGTAAATGAACACATGAAGTTTTAAAATAAACTGGTATCAAAACTGCATGACAGTTATTCAAGTGTTTTGCATTTTGCTTGAGAAATCTGCCCTTAGTTTATTAGTAGTTATTAGCTCTTAGTATTTAAAGCTACAGTATGTGACTTAAAGACCCCACGGCATTCTCATTTCTAAACATTTAATGTTTAATCTTGGCTACCTCTAGATTAGCTTTGCACCCCTCATAACTCCAAATAGTCTGTAATTATTTCAGAATGATAAAACCTGAAAGCCTCTTCCTAAAGTCAAGAAGACAGTTCATGAACGCGCACGACTCCTGCTGCCGGTGTTGTGTTGAATGTGGACAGCACAATGAACCACAATGACATTAATACATTTCTACTCCATAGATAGGTAAATCATGGTATATGTACTTATGAAAAGAGATGTGTAACACTCTAAACAAAGCAGGTCATTGAGAAATCTCGTATTTTAACTGGCATAATTCAGACATAGTAACTTTTCCAGCCTTACAACAATTCTCTAACGCACTCACTCTGAAAAACATCACTTCCTTTCAAGTAGCTCCAGAGTTGGTAAATTCAACTGGTGGTTAAATGAAATCTTTAAACTATCAGGTAGTACTTAATTTTGTTAGAAAATAAAATTTAATAAAATAAAAATCTATTGTTTGTTAGAAAACTCTAACAAGCGAGAGTTTGTGAGACTTGTATAAACTGAGTTGCTTCTGCATAGAAGTACTAGAACATACGTACACCTCATTTTTGATCTTTAGGTCATGTCTAAAATGATAATTCACCCATGGTAGCATTGTAGATAAGTCAGAAAACTAGGAAAAGCATGCCATGGGCTCTTTAAGGTAGTGCTAGCATGAAAATCCAAATCAATCCACTCTGCTCTGCCCAGCACTCCCTCTCCCTCTCCACTGTGCTCTACTACAGTCTGCTATGCTCCGCCA